AGCTGCACAATCCCTATCTCCATTACTTGGGTGCTATCAGTGATATGGAATTAAGCCAGGAGCTACAGGAGTCAATGGAATATGCATAGTCTCCCTGACTCATCCTAATTCAATTGGAGTGGGACTGTGGGTCAAATTTGGTTCCTGAGAGGAGCCTCTTTGAGAAAAATTAGTCTTATCCATCCTGCCCTATATTAGTAAGTCTATTTATGGACACATTATGTAAAATATTGGGCTCCTGCAAGAAAATCGTGTGAGTTTACTAAAGAAATTATAGGCATGATGATGTGGGTAGAAGAAATAAGGAGGAACAAGGAATGAAAATCCCTAAAATGATGTTTCAAATAATGTGAACTTTTGTTTTCAACAAAATACTCTTCTTAATGGGAATGTGCTGAAAGAGAATAGAGAAGAATATTGAAACATTTTAACTTGGAAAAATAAGTCCTAAATATCTAAGGAAATCATTTACTGAATTATCTTTGTGCTTGAAATATGTTCTTATCTCGTTTTTTTCTATTTTTAAATGTAAATAGAGGTGCTTCCAGATAAAATGCATGTTATTTCTGCATCTTTGGACATTCTGTATTTCTAAAAATATGAAATTAATACTTGATAGTCTCACCATCCTTAACTACAAAAAAATATATACAGCCAAAAAAAAAAAAGAGTGTTTTTATACATCTCACTTGAAATTACATAACTTAGAAGTGATAAAATTATGTAAGAGGAAGCATATATCCTCTCTTTACTCTCTTAAAACGTTTTACTGAATAATAGCTTAAGCCCTACCTGTGATCAGGAAAATATGTTATGGAAGTTATCTCTATATATAATCTGAAGTCTTGACTAACCAATAATGAAATTTGAAATTTCAGTATTTTATTTACATTGTAATCATGATAAAATAGTAGCATGGAAAATGTCAGTTCATAGTAATAACTGTTACAACTATAAACCTGACATCTGTAATCTTTGTCAGTCAGAAAAATATAGCAGATTGGGACAAATTTAGTTCAGTCATTCAAACAGAATGAAGCTTGCTTGTCACCTGTTTTCCTTTGTGATTTGATTATCTTGCTCTAGGTTTTCCTTAAAAAAAGGAAATAAAGGTATTCAAAGAGCTAATACAAAGTGAAGCAGAAGTATTATTCAAGTTTCTATACTCTGCCAGTTTAAGCAGTCTTAAAGGTGTTCATTTTCTTTTTGTGGTGTTAAAATTGTGCATTGTCATTTTCTAAACAGTGATAATACAAATAACCCTTAGCATTTTTAGCACAATTTCCACCCCCCCCCTCACAGATGTATAGTACAATAGTCTAGCCTCCTTTGTGAAATGGGGACAATAATACCTGCTGTGACATGAGTCGCTGTGATTGATTAATGTCTGTTAGACACAATAAGACATCTGGATTAAAGGAACTTTAGAAGAGCAAGGCACAAAACTAATTTTTTTTTTTTTAACTTTGATTGGACTATAGCTAGTATATGAAAGTTATAAATATTAGCCTTGAAATCCTTCAGGAGGTCTTTTGTTCATTCTAAATACCACAGTCTATGTCCTTTAAGTAAACTGTAACTTTAAAAAGCCTTCATAATCTTTGTGTAAAATGTAATTTTAAAATAATGAGTGGTAGCTAGAAAACCATAGATGAAAATCCAATTTACATACCTGGTTAATAATTTAGATTATTAAATGTCATTTCATAGAAATCATTGTTTAAATATATCAATAGGACAACAGTGAGATTTTGGAATATAAAATAATTTTCTTAACCTGATGTCCGTTTCTATATAAATTGTAACAACGTTTTAGTTTTCAGTTAGTTGGCCAAAGGTGACTTAGCTTCACAAGAATCCTATGACCTACATAACCAGCAGACAACGTGAAGGCAATTTTATCATAGCCCAGGTAATATCAGTTCCTAAGGTATTAATCAGGCACAACACAGGTGAGAATATTATCATTCCTTGCTACACAAAATATACCTTGACAATGATGAATAAGAGTTAATTTCGAAGTTATAATTGGAAGTCTAACATATATTGGAAGGTCTAAATTGGAAGTCATATAATTAAAAATCTAATATTTTATTAAAATTACAATGGAAAAGTGATTACAACGCAACATAAAAACCAATAGATGTCCTCTTACAAAAATTAAAATTAATAAATACATTTTCTCTAATTCATAATTGTACAGATAGGACTTTTTTAAAAAAATAGCCTAGGAGAGCAGTTCTCATTATGCAAATATTTTATACAGTGTTTTAGACAGAAGCCTCAAGTTAGGATAGCAGAGGGTTAGGAATTTGACCCTGTGTTTTAATTTTCTTCCAAGAATATTAATAAGATCTCTAATAATAGTTCTCACTTGGAGTTTAGCAGTTGGAATATGGCAAACAATGAGCTTCAAATATTCTAGCTTTAAGAGTTAATACTATTATGTTTAAAGAATCCCAGAAATTTAGGTATGCCAAATAAACACCTATGAAATAGAATGCACTCAAGTCAGTAGCTACATTTTTTTCAATCTTCTTTGAAAAAGAATCTAGATGAACTTCATTTTGGGATTTTGTCCAAGATCTGTTTTAATTGATGTCTCATGGTCATAAATTTCAATCATGTGATATTTTTCTTCCCCAACCTTCATCCTGTGTTCATACAAAGATTTCCTCTCTGAGCATAGGGTAATAATGGGTTCTGACTACAAGTAAAGCGATCCCTTAGCAAACAGACACAATTCCACTTAATAATAATGTTAAATAATTCTAAGCTATGTGTTGAGACTACAACATGACTTTGAAATGACTACAGTATGATTAGAATAAGAATGAGAGACAACTGTGATGCTTATGAAATGAACTGGAAAATGGCTATGCTGTTATATTTATTGTAAATGTATCAGAATGATGGTTTATTTGTTACCTTAAACTACTTCAGAGTATAAAATAGGTGACAACTGGAACAATGAACTAGCTTAATTCTAGATTTTGTGAATGGCAAAATGCTCATTCACCGTTGTAAGATAAAATAATCGTCCTGTAATTCACTTGACTATTGTATGAGGTAGTACTTTTCTTTTGACTCTTAGATATGTAAGCACTACTTTATTCTTAAAGGTTCTATGGTATAATTGCGCAATATATTACTATCATAAGATTGGTTGGCAACTTGAAAACAACATCAAATGATTGCCATAACCCTGCTTTATAACACAGAAGGAATTAATGTTAAGGCTTTCAGGCTTTCTGCACCCGAGGAAAAGTTTGAATAAAAAAGAACTTACATATTCGTAGATATGGGAAAATAGTTACATCAATGAGTTGGTTAAACAGAATTATGCACGATCTAGTTTGCCAGGTTTAGTAGGGTTTTAAAAACTTGTAAATATCTAAAAAGTAAGAGTTCCTATTGGGAGTGGGGAGGATGTATTCAAAAACTAGTGGTTTCCCTAAACAGGCCATCAGTGTGCATAACTATCAATACATGAAGAGCCTTTAATGCATATTCGGCTCAATGCAGAATGGGAAGCATAGAGGTTTAAAATAAATGTCCTTTATCCTCCCCATGAGAACAAGTTATTCAATGATGCATTAAGACCTTCTGGGACAACCTTTATATGTCATTCAAAAATATAAAACTTGTTTTCCGAATGAATTGTAATTAATGCCTCAAACTTTTCTCAGGCTGTAAGCACAATCGATTAAAAAAAAAAAAAAAGCCTTAGGTGTTTTACTGATTTTAAAAGATCAATCAAATATAAAGCTTTTGGACCAATATTTAGGGGGGAAAAAATAATGCTCATCCTTTTAGGAGTCATCCCATCCGCCTCTTGTATGAAAATTAGAAACGTGAGATATCCTACAAGGCTGGAGTCTGAAAAATGAATTTGCAGGAGGGGAAGACAAGCATTACACGTAAAGCTGGAATCAGCAGAAAGCGCAATGGGAAAGGGAGTGTTCCACAGCTTGGGGAGCATCTGGACGGGACTCCTTCCAGCCTCTGGCAAGCAAAGTTTGCAGCTAGGTGAGCTGGCAGCGGTTTTTGCTGCAGCCGCGCGTCGGAGCGAGCTCGGGTTCGCAAGGTTGGGGTGTGTCGGGGGCGGCACTAGAAGCATTAAGCACCGTCCCCATCGACCGCCAAAGCCCGCACCGTCCAGGTCTCTCCGCACCCCCCTACGCCACCAGAGGCGGCTCCGCGCCGCGCACCGAACTGATCTGGGCAGACCGCGGGGGTTGCCACGTTCCCTTCCCCAAGCAGTTTCTGTGACCTTGCGCGTAGCGAGTGCCCAAATATCCTTTCCGATTTCGATGAGATTCAAAAATCCTCTGCCCCGACCTTCGCTAACCGCCCTCTCAGCCCTTCTTGCCAGTGTTTCTGCCAGCAAAAGCCTCTAGTTGCAGCATCGAGTGCGTAGCATTTAACGCATTCTGGGGCGTGCAGGCGCGTTTGCCCTCGGACGGGTGACAATGCGTCTCACGCCTCGGATCCCCAGTTGACTCATCTATGCATCGTGGCCCCTGCACTCAGGGGAAAAAAAAAAAGTGCAAAACGTGCAAACGTGCTCCTGGAGACGAGCCGCTTCAGCGTCCCCCATCCTCCCGCCGCGGTGCCCGAGGGTTCCCGCTCGGAATCCGCGCGCCCCGGCTCCGCGGTCCACTGTCCCGCGCGAGCGCAGCCTCCGCCGGCCCCGCTCCGGCCTGGAGCGCGCCGGAGCTTCCCTCCCGGCCGGAGCCTGCCGGGCATGCTCACTGCGCCTCCTGGTACCCGGCTCTCCCGGGGCCAGGATTAGATCTCCGGGTTTTCGCTGCTGCCGAGGGGGCGCAGAGGAGGGGAGGCTGGGAGACAGTCAGCGCCTTGTTCCGCGCCCCCTCTCCGTGCGCCCGGCCGCTCGGCCCGCACCGCAAGATGCGAGCCAATCAGACCCCGGGGGCGGGGCCCGGGCCGTCACGCCCTCCCTCTGGGCTTATTGAGAGTTATATCAAGAAATTCAGTTCAGAGAGAGGAGAGAGAGAGGGAGAAGGAGAGAGGGGCAGAGGAGAAGGGAGGGAGAGAGAGCTTGCAAGACGGGAAGGAGCGCCTTTGAGTCTCTGAAGCTCGAAAGAGATAACCGACTAGGAATTTGGGGGGGCAGCTGTCACCTCGGAGAGCGGCCGGAGAATAACCATCACCCCAACTCTGACGTTTTCTACCAGAAGTTAGAGACTTAAGCAGTATTGACATCGGAGGGAAATGGTATGCTTGACGCTGTGGAAAATACCCCTAAGCTGAAGAAGTGCAACTGGATGGTGTGTGTGTGTGTGTGAAATACCAGAAGAGCCCAGACCCCATGGGTAATAAAGATGAAATGTGGAGAGAATGACTAATGACAAATCTGTGAATTTGTTCTCTGGAGTTGCTAATTTGCCAGCCCGAAGCAACACATTTTACAAGGAGGAAACGTTTGGCTGCTTCTGATTTCTCCCCAAACTGGTGCTACCAGATGCATGGCTTTCTATGTGTTGGAACAAATCATTCCTAACTGCAGTATACCGGGAAAGGGGAAAGGTTGAGGCAACTAACGTAAGTGTAAAGTTTCGCATGCACAATTGTAAATTCTGTGTTTAGATATGTCCTCAGTGTAGACGAGGGATGTTTGTAATTGGGTGATCGGCTGGGGCAGAGCTCACCTACCCCGCTGTATCTGCATCCCTACCTGCATCACTCTGCCGGAACTAATCGCGGGCAGCAGCTACCACACAGCCTAATGCAGATAAGATTAGAGCCTGGGAACTGACCAGTTATACTCAAGTAGGTACTGCCTGAAGCCTTGCACCCATTTAAATTGCAGTTAGGGGAGTAGCTAAGCAGAGCCCTTTTTACCTGCATTATTGGGTTGCAGTATTGATGTGTAGCAGATGGTACTAATATTATAACCAGAGATCAAGGTTAAGAAACTGCATTTTTCTTTCTCTTTAATGCTCAGTAGCAAAGAGTGTGCTGTGTGTGGCAATGTTAGCTGCGTTTTACTTACATCTCGACACTCTCTTCACCTTTAGGATAAGGAATTCGGTATTATACATTTTTAAAAGTTTTAATGTGTTTATTAATTCTAATGGGGATCATGTAGCAATATGGAGAAATGAGAGCAAGGTCTGGGTAGGAAACTGGAAGTCTTGGTATTGTGTTTTTAGGCAGTGGGGCTTTGTAGGGGCCGGTGACTACTGCTTCTGATGCTGCAGCATGTCCGGATGCTTGTTTCCCAGTAAGACTGTATTAGAAGGCAGTTGGCGAACTGGGAGGAAAGAAGACGATAGTCTTTTTTTAGGAGAAAGAGAGATGACTCAGTGGCAGAGAAGCAAACACACTGTATTTGACATGTGACAAAGCAATTAGTAGGATCCATCGCTAAATACTTAGTGATTTTTACTTGTACCTAACAAAACTAAGGAGGTGGGTTAGAAGCCAAGAGGACTGGTGAGCCAGGGGGAGGGGAAGAACTGGACAAGAATGCATGTTTTGAATTAAACAGTGTCCTGGGAAACAATGTGGGTGAATGCACGTAAAAATAGCAGCTGTCCTTAATTCAAAGTAGATCCCCCCCAGCCCCCACCCGTTACTGAGCAATGCAACAAGCAGGGGATATTCAGTGTTTCCATCCACAGAGTTAACTTGCAAGCAGTGGCAGAGCAAACTGCCATGTTTACTAATATGCAGTGAAAAATGTGTTGTGATATTTTGTGACTGTGTGTTTTTGTTTACTGAGAATAATATTGTCTATACAATTGTGTTGACAGTGGCTGTCTCCAAATAAGAGACGAGATGTAATGCATCCTCCAGTCCATGCACGCTTCCTCTTGCAGTTTGCGCGTCGTTCCTCAGTGGAGACCTTTAAACCCTAAAATCCAGAAAGAGCAAATAAATACATTATCATGGACCTGAGGGATTTTTACCTGTTGGCTGCTCTGATTGCCTGTTTAAGGCTGGATTCCGCAATAGCTCAAGAACTTATTTACACTATTAGAGAAGAATTGCCTGAAAATGTGCCCATAGGAAACATACCAAAGGATCTGAACATTTCTCACATCAATGCTGCCACAGGGACCAGTGCCAGTCTTGTCTACAGACTGGTGTCTAAAGCTGGGGATGCCCCTTTGGTGAAAGTATCCAGTAGCACTGGGGAAATTTTCACAACCTCCAACAGAATAGACAGAGAAAAACTCTGTGCTGGAGCCTCTTATGCTGAGGAGAATGAGTGTTTCTTTGAACTTGAGGTGGTGATCCTCCCCAATGATTTTTTCAGGCTGATCAAAATAAAAATAATTGTCAAGGATACCAATGATAATGCCCCCATGTTTCCATCTCCTGTCATCAATATTTCCATCCCAGAAAACACTTTGATCAACAGCCGCTTTCCAATTCCATCAGCAACAGATCCTGACACAGGCTTCAATGGTGTACAGCATTATGAATTGTTAAATGGGCAGAGTGTTTTTGGACTGGATATCGTGGAAACTCCGGAGGGAGAGAAGTGGCCACAATTGATTGTTCAGCAAAACTTGGACAGAGAACAGAAAGATACCTATGTGATGAAAATCAAAGTAGAGGATGGAGGCACTCCACAGAAATCCAGCACAGCCATACTGCAGGTCACAGTAAGTGATGTAAATGACAACAGACCAGTGTTTAAAGAGGGTCAAGTGGAGGTGCACATTCCAGAGAATGCTCCTGTAGGCACCTCTGTAATTCAGCTCCATGCCACTGATGCGGATATAGGCAGCAATGCTGAAATCCGGTACATTTTTGGTGCCCAGGTCGCCCCTGCAACCAAAAGACTCTTTGCTTTAAATAATACTACTGGGCTGATTACAGTTCAGAGGTCCTTAGATCGAGAGGAGACAGCCATTCACAAAGTGACAGTGCTGGCTAGTGATGGCAGCTCCACTCCCGCCCGAGCGACGGTTACCATCAATGTCACTGATGTAAATGATAACCCTCCTAACATAGACCTCAGGTACATTATAAGTCCCATCAATGGCACGGTATATTTATCTGAGAAAGATCCTGTCAATACAAAGATTGCCCTAATTACAGTTTCAGATAAGGACACAGATGTGAATGGCAAAGTGATCTGTTTTATTGAAAGAGAGGTCCCATTTCATTTGAAGGCAGTCTATGACAACCAGTACTTGCTAGAGACCTCCTCTTTGTTGGACTATGAGGGCACCAAAGAATTCAGCTTTAAAATTGTTGCCTCTGATTCTGGGAAGCCCAGTTTAAATCAGACTGCCCTGGTAAGGGTTAAACTTGAGGATGAAAATGACAACCCACCAATTTTCAACCAGCCTGTAATTGAGCTGTCAGTTTCTGAAAACAACCGACGTGGGTTATACTTAACAACTATTAGTGCCACAGATGAAGACAGTGGGAAAAATGCAGACATTGTTTATCAGCTTGGACCGAATGCCTCTTTCTTTGATCTGGACCGAAAGACAGGAGTTTTGACAGCCTCCAGAGTCTTTGACAGAGAAGAACAGGAGCGATTCATTTTTACAGTAACTGCCAGGGACAATGGGACCCCTCCCCTCCAAAGCCAAGCGGCTGTGATAGTTACTGTTCTGGATGAGAATGACAACAGCCCCAAGTTTACTCATAACCACTTTCAATTTTTTGTGTCTGAGAATCTGCCAAAGTACAGTACTGTGGGGGTTATCACAGTGACAGATGCAGATGCTGGAGAGAATAAAGCTGTGACTCTTTCCATTCTAAATGACAATGACAATTTCGTGTTGGATCCTTATTCTGGAGTCATAAAGTCGAATGTGTCATTTGACAGAGAGCAGCAGAGTTCCTACACTTTTGATGTCAAAGCCACCGATGGAGGACAACCACCCCGTTCCTCTACTGCAAAAGTAACTATCAACGTCATGGATGTCAATGACAATAGCCCAGTTGTCATTTCTCCCCCTTCTAACACTTCTTTCAAGTTGGTGCCGCTCTCAGCCATTCCTGGCTCTGTTGTCGCAGAAGTTTTTGCAGTGGATATTGACACGGGGATGAACGCTGAACTTAAGTACACGATTGTGAGCGGGAACAACAAAGGCTTGTTTCGGATTGACCCAGTAACAGGTAACATCACTTTGGAAGAGAAACCGGCACCTACTGATGTGGGCTTGCACCGTTTGGTGGTCAACATAAGTGACCTAGGGTACCCTAAGTCTTTGCACACACTTGTGCTTGTTTTTCTTTATGTTAATGACACTGCTGGAAACGCCTCCTATATCTATGACTTGATCCGCAGGACTATGGAGACCCCATTGGACAGGAACATAGGGGACAGCAGCCAACCCTACCAAAATGAGGACTATCTAACTATCATGATCGCCATCGTCGCTGGCGCCATGGTAGTCATTGTGGTTATCTTCGTCACCGTGCTGGTGCGCTGCCGCCATGCGTCCAGGTTCAAAGCCGCTCAGAGGAGCAAGCAAGGTGCTGAATGGATGTCCCCAAATCAGGAAAACAAACAAAACAAGAAAAAGAAAAGGAAGAAAAGAAAGTCTCCCAAGAGCTCTCTTTTGAACTTTGTTACAATTGAAGAGTCCAAGCCAGATGATGCAGTTCACGAACCTATCAATGGGACAATCAGCCTGCCTGCTGAGCTGGAGGAGCAGAGTATAGGAAGATTTGACTGGGGTCCTGCGCCTCCAACAACCTTCAAGCCTAACAGCCCTGACCTGGCCAAGCACTACAAATCTGCTTCTCCACAGCCTGCTTTTCATCTTAAACCAGACACTCCGGTTTCCGTGAAAAAGCATCACGTGATTCAGGAACTCCCTTTGGACAACACCTTTGTCGGGGGTTGTGACACCCTTTCCAAACGCTCTTCCACTAGTTCAGATCACTTCAGTGCCTCAGAGTGCAGTTCCCAAGGAGGCTTCAAGACAAAGGGCCCCTTGCACACCAGACAGGTAAACGAGCACTTTTACTGGTCTATAAGTACTGCATACAAGTGCCCAGTCAACCAGTATTAACGTGCCAGTGTGTCTATTGTTTTGGTCTAACTTTAGCTTAGTTTTAAAGAGGGAAAAAAAAATTTGACCCCTTTTCTATTCCTCTGGGGCTCAGTCAAGAATTTTTAGAACAGCTTTGAAATTTCTGAGTTCTGAGAATTATTTAACCTCCCAGTTTCCTTCAAATGGCAAAAGATGAAAAGAGGAAATTATTCCAAAATGTCCCAAGATAATGTTTGCTGAAGAAGAAAACCTGTCCTCATATGCCAAATTCTGCTCCTGGGGTTTCCAAATTGACTGCTTCAAGATTTTCACATTACCTTTGATCTAAAAAGTCACCTTCAAATCTCAAGTTTTAAATGACGTTTGAAGGTCTGACTGTAACGTTATGTTGGAGCTGTGGTTGCTAAAGGGGTTAATTTTTTTTTAGTCTCTAAACAATGTAGTAGACTATTAAATGTACATCAGCTGTGAAGCACATGATTGTTGATAGATTGCAAATAAGCCATATAGGAAGTCTTCTCTTTGATTTCAGTTGATTTTATTGTAATATAGTAAATTGGGTATTTAATAGAAAGGTTTGCAGATTGTCCGGAAAGGCCAAAGTACTCTTTAAAAAAAATAAAAAAAAAAAGAAGGAATGCTTTCTCCCTAATATAACTGATTTATACAGAAAAGAATGAATCCATTGTAAATATTCTCTCATCTTAGTAATGCATAAGTGATCTGTCATAACTCATTTTAAACTGTGAAATATGCCATATGAAGAGGGATTAAGAGGCTGAGAAACTCATATTTCAACCAAATCCAGAATTAGTTTTTCTTAGGTCTAATAATTCCTTGTTAATAAAGATTTAAATGCAGCGCTGTCTAATTTATTTCACTGGTGCTTGTCTGTTGCCACGGAATTTGAGTGTCAATAATAGCCTGTAGATGGCACTAGGGTATCATGTCGCCTGTGCTGGCCAGATGCCAATCCGCAGTAGCAAGAGAATGGGGGGAAGGGAGGATCAAGCTGGTACTACAACCAAAGATACCTTTTATTTAATGATAGTTGCTCTTGAGCAACTAGCATGTAAGTTCATTTGCTTGCTCTTTTGTGATTAGCTCTCACCACACCAGCTTTCTAGGATTTCATAATCCAAACTCTTGGTTGGTATTGAGTTCACCCATGGTGATGGCCCATCTTAATTTGTTAAAAGACAAGGAACAGAGAGATTTCAGAAAATCAAGTAAAATAAAATAACCTCACAGGATAGTATTTGACAGTCATTGATGAGTAGGTGAAAACTCAAGAGAGTTTTTTTTCTTTTTGGGGGTGGGCTGTGGTGGGGTAGAGCTGAATGTCTTATTGAAACTGTCCCTTTCAACATTGATTGTTGCTTTGGAGTGAATTTAAGGCTTGGTGGTAATAAGACAGTCACAAAATTAACTCTGATGATGAATCACGTAGATACTTCCTGAACACTAATTATAATTCCTGAAATTTCCATTTTTTAAAGTAAAAGATTAAATATCTAGATCATTTTTTAAAGTACATGTACTAGAGCTTGACTGTGCAGGATGAAAGGAATTAAAATAAGTTGGTGTTGAAGTTCTAGAGGAGAATTTGAAGTTATTAGATATAAGTCCCAGTTGGAATGACTTATTTTCATATTAACTTCATCAGCTTTTTAGAGGAGATTGATATTTTCACATTAAGAACATTGCCAAGCTTAGCAAATAAAAGTTTATAAAAGTTGGTAAATAGTTGATTATCATGAGATAAGTAGTTGGTGAAACTAAACAGGTTTAAATATAATGTTGCTATTTCAATGAAAAGAAAGAGAATGACTTTTTTATCACTTGCTTTTAGGGTGAAGGTCACTCACAATATACTTATGGTATTTTATGATTTGCATGTATCATGCAAAATCTAACCCAATTAAAACTTTTCATGTAAAATCTGATTTTTTCCCCCAAAGACACAAGGTGATTCTCTTCTCACATCTTCTTTCTTTTCATATAATGTGGTGAGTAGTAGCATTGATGTGCAGACTCACTTTTTCTGACTACTCCCTCAAAGTTGAAGCTACATAGTAAAGTAACATGTATGTTAAGTACCTTTCAACCAAGTATGGAATGATCTTTGTTGAGGTGTAGTCAGACATAAGAATCTTCCTTTGTATGATGTCATCTTTGAACTAGGATGCTGAGTAATTAATTTTTTAACTGGAACTAAAGTGCATTTTAGAAATTCCTTGAAACCATGTGTTAGTATGCAGTTCTCCTTGTAGGCATTTTTATGTTCAAGGGAGCTGTAATTCACTATTATGATAAAGAACTAGTGAGTTGGCTTTATGTAAACCTTTTAGAAGTTTCCATACTGAGAAAAAAGGTTGCAATATTGGCAAAAAAAGATACTGGAAATAAGGAAAGAGGTGATGATGATAGGAATATGTATAATTTTATTATGAAAGAGGCATATTTTCTGTAAATGAAGAACATAAATTATATACTATCCTTTTAATTTTTGTTACTGAACTGTATGATTGCTATCTGAAAATGTTCTAGTTAAGAGAAACAGTAAAAATTCTTTTTTGAACACCTTCACTTTAGCTAGTGGCTTTTATATAAAATTGGTATTGTCTTTAAAATGAAAATATACTGGTCGACTTTTACACCATGAGTTTGTTTATAGATTATTATTATAATAATCAATTATAATAGATCTGTCACTGACTTTTCCAAAAATTTTCCTTTATAAGTTTTTGAATTTTCAGTGTTCACACATTGCATGATATTTCCATGCTTTTTTTTAAAGCAAGATCATATAAGGATATTGATTCATAAAATGAAGAATTCACTGTTACAAAGAGGATGAAAACAATTGCAATTCCAGTAGGACTTTGAATAATAAATCTTACATGTATTTTCACTAAAAGGAAGAAATGTGTTTTTGATAGATATGATTTTTAAAATCTGACATATTAAGTTCTCAAATTTTAGGGTGTCTCAGAGTCACCATGAAATTTCTTTCAAGCATGGGCTTTTGTGCCCATCCCCCACCCAGGTGTTCTGATTCAGTACCACTGGTGTCACGCCTGAAAACATGATCACTAGCAAAACTTTTTATGAAAATAATGCTGCTAGTCCATAGACCATACTTTTGAGAACCACTGTCTCAGCATATTGGAACAGGAAATGTCAGTGCCTTTCCCTTTTAGATTATCATTTCCAGAGGACCTGTTTTTGCACAGCCCAACTCTCAGCTCACTTATTGACAGCCGTTTTATTGTAGCTGGAGGCTTTACAGTAAGCTATTTATTGCTGTTTTCCAACCCTGGTTGACAGCATTTGGGGAATTAATTTTCTTGGTCCCAGTGTGCTTTTTGTGGGGTATAAATGAAAATGTTAAAGGAAAAAAAAAAAGTGACCTATTTACATTTGACAACTTCTTCAGTAACACAACAATCTGTGATAGTTGCAGTTTGGTTCTGGGTAAAGAGTCATCTTTAATTTTTGAAATGAAACGCTCATCTTAGAGTATAAACATTCTGAATTTACCTGTTTACAATCTAGCCTATCTGTTCAGATATACATTTGTGTATATATTGGAGAAATTATACATTGAAAATGTGTGGGCATGCTGTACTCAAGTGTTTACATGTACTTTTACTGTATAAAGGGACTTGCTTCTATTCCCAATCATTTATAGATACTATATTACATTTACGATTACTTTTCATTTTTGAGTAATCCCTATACAACCACTACTAAAATGCTGTTATATCGTGTAAAATGCACAAGACAGTCATAGAATTGCTATTTAGAACAGTGAGAAAGAAAAAAGCAATTGAAAGTAAAGGGAGCAAATGCTAACTAATAAAAGCTAGCAAAAACTTTAAGATACTAAATTTTGAAGTATATGATGAATGTGTAGTTGAATATGAGTGGTGAGTAGAGAAAATTGTTCCCCCCAAAGCATATAATACTTAAAATGTTATCAGTTGTGATTTTTATGTCTTCTTTGCTTTTACTAAACGTCCTTTGGTTCTAAGTCAGATTTCAAACTTGTGGTTTAGAAGATACCAAGACCCTTTCGCTATTGATTGAGGAATTTGAAATGAGAATGGGCTATCCATTTAAACTGGCTACCTTTCCTCTTGGGTTTATGAGTCACATATTGGATGGATTTTTTTTTTTCTCTAATTGATACACCTCAGCTATAAAACATGACATTCATTGCTAATAACCTTAAGGAGGGTAAAATTCAAATACCGCCACTGTATTAAGCAGAGACATGTCTGCAGATTTCCGAATATTTGTTAACTGAGAAAATAATTTCTGTAGTTAAATATTCTATTAAACGTTTTCTAAATTTTGTTGCAATTAATTCTATATATGGAAACACTCTAAATTGACATTCCCTTAGTTTCAGATGAGTCATCTTCATGGTGCCATAGAATAGACTTTGGCATCATGAAAATTACCTTGCAAATATTTTAATTTGTCTTATTAATTAATTCATAGCCTTATTAGTGAGCTCTTTCAAACTAAAATATATCTTTTTTTTTGTGGTAGAACAAATTCAACCTACGTGTAGTATAAGAAAGGGAATTGATATTTAATATAAAGATTGAAATCTAAAATCAGATTTCTTTATAGCCAATTGTAAATCATTTTGATTCTTAAAGTTTATTTTCATATTAACAAGCACAGATGTTTATAAACTAGACCCAAAATAATCAAAGTGATATCTTAATTATTTTCATAGTACATTATGTTACATGGTGGCACTGAGATATGAGAACGATGTATTTAAATCATATTTTCTCATAAGTTCTGTTTTCATGATTATTTTCATTTCATTATTCAGATTTTTGGATTTGGGATTTTATTTTTGCATGTGAAGGATGCAGAAATCTACCAGTATTGAAGGCTCTAGTGGTTATGTTGGCCTAGCAGAACTGGGTGTT